CCTCGGCTCCCGCTCCCCCCACAGCCCGCACTTTCCCTCCCTCGCTCCCTCCCTCGCTCCCTCCCCGCGCTCGCGCGCTCTTCCTCTCCCGGGGTTCATTCACATAATTAGAGCCAAGGCAGCCGGAGGGGGGTGGGAGGGAAGGGCTCCCCGCGAGGACGGGGGCGAGGCGCGCGTCCAGCCACTACCTCTCCTACCCATCCCGGGACACCCGGGCTCCCCTCAGCCCGCGGGGATTCAGGGAGACCTGGGGTGGTGCGTGTGGGTATGTGAGTGCGTGTGTGTGTGTGTGTGTGTGTGTGTGTGTGGTCCTTCTTTTCACCTTATACCTGTGTGCGCCTAGATCTGGAGACGAGGATACAGGCGGGCGTGAAGGGGTGGGTGTGTGTCTGGGGGGAAGAATCAGCTCCAGATGTGGTTTACACCCCTGGGAGATAACGCAGGCCCAGCCAGGCCCCGGGCCTCCTCCTTCTGAACCCAGGTGATCTCCAGGGCTGGGAGGCCTTGGACTTTTGGTATTGAAGCCAGGACTCGCTTCCAATATCACGTTTCTGTTGGTTTATTGCTGCTGCTACTGCTAAAGACACCCCATCCGCATTAGATTCAACCCTCCCAGCCTCCAGCTGTGGCCCTCTTCCTCCCTCCCGCTCTTTTCTCAGGTCCTTCATTTCTTCCTGCCTTTGGCTCACCTCCCCTTCATTGCTAGCTGCTTCACCTGATTGCTTTTGGTGTTAAAATGCTTCTCTTCTCCTCAGAGCAAATCCAAGGTTCCAGCTCTTCTCGCCCAAAGGCCTTGAGAGACCTGAAGTCCAGCTGGCCTTTGGGTCACATCTGCCCGTGTTCCTGTTTCCATCTTGGAGGGTTGCCCTGTGGCGTAATGCTTTGGATCCCAGGGAAAATGTAGCTTAGATTTCACTCCATGTGTGGTGCCCTCTCAGCCACTCCTCAGAGAGAATGAGACTTTGTACTGGGACTATTGTTTGCCCACCTCCTCTGGCATAGTTGGGTCTGTATAGTTAAGTGTTTAACAAATGTTTGCTGAGCGAAAGGCAGAGATTGCTCCTTTCCCTCCAATTAGAGCCAGGTTGGGGGAATAGGAGAATGTAAATAAAAGGGGAAAACATGGAACAGTAATATAGCCCTAGGACCGGGCTGACTGAATTAATTAGCATTTGTTGACCCCCTTCTCTGGCTGTTGGGAATTATTCTGCCTTTCCAAAGTTTCAAAGGGCCAAGGTCACTACCTCTATTTTTAGCTTTTATTTTACTGCCTGGCACAACAGGTGTGCAGTGTGTGCCAAAGAGTGCTGAAGAGGAATAGAACATATGAAGTGACATGCCACTGTCCCTGGTATCTTTTTTTTTTTTTTTTGGTCGGTTGTGGGGCTTGAACTCTGGGCCTGGGCGCTGTCCCTCAACTCTTCAGCTCAAGGCTAGCACTCTACCACTTGAGCCACAGCGCCACTTCCAGTTTTCTGAGTGGTTTATTGGAGATAAGAGTCTCACAGACTTCCCTCCCCGGCTGGCTTTGAACTGCGATCCTCAGATCTCAGTCTCCTGAGTAGCTAGGATTATAGGTGTGAGCCACCAGCGCCTAGCTGTCCCTGATATCTTTAGAGAGTTAAGTTAGAGTTCTGGTCTCAAAAGCTCTGGAAGCCCAGTGGTAGTGACTCACACCTGTAATCCTAACTACTCAGAGGCTGAGACCTAAGGTTCCTGGTTCAAAGTCAGCTCAGACAGGAAAAGTCCATGAGACTCTTTCATCATTCACTTAACTAGTCTGAAGTGGTGGAGCTGTAGCTCAAGTGATAGGGTACCAGCCTTGAATGAAAAAGCTAAGAGACAACACCTAGACCCTGAGTTCATCCCTAACATTGGCACCAAAAAAGAAGAAGAAAAAGGAGGAGGTCGAGGAAGAGGAGGAGGAAGAGGGAGGGAGGGACAGAAGGAAGGAAGGAAGGAGGGAGGGAGGGAGGGAGAAAGGAAGGGAGGAAGGAGAGAGAAGGAAAGGAGGAAGGAGAGAGAAGGAGCTCTGAGAAAGAAGATTTTCTTTTTCTGGAGGCAATTCTTGTTTCAAAGCAAATCTTCAAACAAAGCCAGATGAAGCTGGGCTGCCACCTTTGGCCTTGCAGGGCTGAGGTGGCACTGCGGATGAGGAGCTCCATGTTCGGTGCCCCACCTGCTCACCCACCCCTGCAGCCCCTGGGAATTCCTAAGAGTCCATGAAACATGGCTGGGACCCCATTTCAAGCCAGCTGCTGGGACTCCAGCCCCTGTGGGCTTCCTCTAAGACTTGTTGAGAAACAAAGGAGACTCTCTGATCTCCTTTACCTAGGGAGAGGGTTCTGGGTGATGATCCTCTAGGGAAACAATCCTTAAGTCAGGGGCACAGGAGAACTTTTTTCGTCTGGTATTGGAGTTTGAATTCAACTCCTCATCCTAGCTAAGCAGGTACTCTACCCCTTGAGCCAAAGCTTTTTGCTTTTTTTTTTTTTTGGGTCCAGTCGTGGGGCCTGAACTCTGGGCCTGGGCGCTGTCCCTCAGCTCTTCAGCTCAAGTCTAGCGCTCTACCACTTGAGCCACAGCACCACTTCTGCTTTTTTCTTTTTGCTTATGTGGTGCTGAGGAATCGAACCCAGGGCCTCAAGCATGCAAGGCAAGCGCTCTACCACTGAGCCACCTTCCCAGCCTTTGCTTTGTTTTTTAAATAAGGTTTTGCTTTTGCCTATGACTGGCCTGGACTGGGATTTTTTTTTTTTTTGAGATAAGGTCTTGCTAATTTTTTTGCCAGGCTGGCCTTAAACTGTGATCCCTCAGATCTCTGCCTCCTAAATAGCTGTGATTTCAGGTGAAGGCCACCGTGTCTGTCTGGCAGAACAAAACTGTTCATGCATCAGAGGCTTACTTTGCCAGCTCTCACTCTTCATTCACAGAGGGGCGAGGAGTCTGTAGGGGAGAAAGCGTGCACAGCACAGTGGACCAGGAGCTCAGTGTCCTGACGGATGGGAAGTGTGATCAGGACAAGCCAAAGCCACCTGGCAGAAAGACACCTATCCAGTCTCCCAGGGGTGTTTTGGATCACAAATGCAGCCTTGGGCATTTATTGCATTGCTTAGGCTCAGCAGGCATTTGTGGAGCAAGTGGTAAAAAACCTTCCTGCCTTTCTTGGAGACAGAGAGCCTGACCATGTCTGGGGAGGATGTATAATCCGCTCTGTCAGTTCTCCGATCCTCCTCATAACACTGGAGGAAGCAGAGGTCCAGATACAGCCCGTGGATTCGCTGGAGGTCTCGTGGCCCTGGATCGGGTTGGGGTCAGATCCTACCTCCTGCGTTGGATGACTTTGAAGCCAGAACTTTTTCAAGGGCATGAAGCAGCCCTTTTTGCTTCAAGTTCAGATGGCTGAATTATCCTTTCCTGTTAGTCTTCTTATTTTTTGGGGGGTGGGGTGTGGATCTCTGTGGGGACTTGCAGTTTGCTTTTCTGTCTGTAAACACCCAACCAGCAGCTGCGCTCCATCTCCAAGTTGTGAGCCAGTAGACTGTGGAGTCAAATAAGGACTTGACCGCCGGCACGAAGGGAGCTGGAGCAAACTCAGGACTGTCTGAGACCATTCATCATGCCTGAGTGAGCACAATTTGAATCTGGAAACTTCTGCTCAGCTGGATGAGAGAGCTCGCTCCAGGGCTAGATCTCACTGCTGTCGGAAGACCCTGGCGGCCCCAGCAGCTCGTGCTGGCTAGGGAGACCTTGGAAGTTAGCAAGACCCCATCTCAAGACACAAGCTGGGCATGATGTCATACCTGAAATCCTAGCTATATGGGCAGCATAAATAGGAGGATCTCAGTTCAGGCCAATCCTAGGCAAAATCAAGACACACACACACACACATTAAAATAACATTAACAATAACAATAATAATAAATCAAGAAAGACATTTGGCTCCTAACCGTAGGAGCCAGCCCACCAGCCCTGCGGTGTCATACACATCCCTTTGGCATCCTGGATAGCCGAGCAGGTGAGTCACTGGACAGGCAGGTGGACCGGTCCTGGCAAACCCTCCTTTTTTCAGCCCCAGGTGTTTTCTATGTCCCTCTGATTTGCCTAGGCTGGGGAAACAGGCGTGGTGAGCTCAGACCCTTCAGCAATCCCAGGTCCAGACTGAAGCTGCCCGGTGGGCGGGGTGGGGCCGGGTGGGGATGGCAGTGGTGGAGGGAGAAGAATCCAGTATGAGGCTGCTCATGCTGCATAATCAACGCCAGGAGGAGAGCAGGCCCTGTGTGTGCAGCCAGGAGAGAAGGGAGTGGCCGTCCGCCAGCCAGGGATGCAGCTCGCTCCGTGTGGCAGTTCCAGCCTAAAGCCTTTATTACAAGCTTTTGTTTTCTCTCTGTGTCCTCCAAGAATAATGACCTTTGTCTGACAACTTTTTTTGGGGGGGGGTAATATTTCTATGCCCAAAGCAGATGGCTCTGGTGATTTCAGGAAGCTTAGCGGTGTGTGTGTGTGTGTGTGTGTGTGTGTGTGTGTGTGTGTGTGTGTGTGTCAGGGTGAGTCTGGACGATCTTGGGTGCATAGACAA